TGCCTGGGCCCCTCGGACCCAATACCCTGTATCGGCGTTGGCCACAGCGCCACCATCCCAGCGGAAGAAACAGCGTTCATACCAGCCCCACTAGAAATGAAAGAACTGTACTTGTGCTGCCTTCTGTATCCCATACTACAACGTAAAAGTACCATGTCTGAAACACGAAATTCTGACAACTATATGTCAGTTTTTTGGGCATCAGAGAAAAAGGAGAATGCTTACTAAGCCTCCGGAGAAATAGGGCTACACCTCCTCCACAAAGAAAAGCTTGACTCCTTGCCTTTCGGAGTCCTGGTTCAAGTTCCTAAGCGGATAGAGCTAAGTTACTTATCTTAAAAACAATAGTCACCTTGTCCAATGACAAACTGAACCATGAAGAACACTGGCTTACCAAGCAGGAGCACAGCAATCACGTCACCCAGGCCTCAACAAGGCCAAACTATAAACAGACCTGGCACCTGCCAGCGTCCCTGTCCCTGGGTCGGGGAGCTGCAGATCAGATAACCCTTCTGGTGACCCGGAGCACAGCAGCCCAGCCTTCCTCAGCAAGGTCCCCTAGCTAGCTGACTGCTTGGAAGGGGAAGACTTGTGCTACCTTTTAAAAGGTGGCAGTGAGGGCATTCGGGGGTGGGGCTTGGCAGGGAGGAGGCCCAGGTGGCTCATTCGCCATACGGAATGCCGTGTCACGGACCTAAGATCATCTGCAGGATCTAGGAACTCATGGTAACCAGAGACTCTGGGACACGGCATCCCCACCGGTAAAGCAGGTAAGTAGAACATGGGAGCGAGGAGTGGCAGGGATGAACCAACTTCCCTGTTACAATAAAATGACTGTTTTGTGCCTACTGTGGCTAGGAAAATAAGAGTGTGTTAAATTATCCCAAGGGGCCTGGGTGACCTCCCCTGTCCTAAGGGACCAAGCTGTTATGTATGAATGGGGGTGGAGAACAATTTTCCATGATCTATAACTCCACTATCCCTTTAATTTTCTGGGGACAGAGAGCAGCACAGTAATGACAGTAGGCAGGCCCTAAATAAGCACAAAGTTGCCATCTCTTGGCCTTGAACAGTAGGACACATTTCTATTGGGGAAGTAAGACAGGGCAGCCACGTGGAGGCCAGTGAAGAACCAGGAGGGGAAGAACACCACTCCAGAGGAAAGACTCCTAAGCCAGATTTAAAAAGAAAAGAAGGAAAGAAAGACTATTTATATTTCCCTATTTTCTTGTATTCTCTCTTAAAGATGTTGGAAGGTCTTTCTAAAAAGCTAACGTGCCTTAGCCATCAAAGGAGGAGGAAAGGGAGGGGATTTCTGATTGTGTTTGAGCCAAAGCTGTCCAAGGGCAGCCGCAGAATAATCAAACGGGGAAACGCAAAGGAGCGCCCAGACTCACAATCAAGAGGCAGCTGACTTTCCCCCTCCCCTTAAATCAACCTCTCCTTCCAGAACAGACGTTCTTCCTGGACAAAGGTGCAGGACAGGAACTTTAACTGGCCAGACTGGTGCCCCCAACTTGCCGCACCACAACATTCCTGGCGAGGTTTCTAGCACCTCAGGAATCTCATTCCGGCCCCTGAGAAGACCTAAGTCTGAAGGACACATATTTACGGTCCCGAATCCACTTGTTGCGCTCCAAGCTGGTCCCTCGCCCCTCACTTACACCAAAGTTCAGGACAGTCTACCCGTCTCCTCCAAACCCTTCTCCAACTTTCCCGCAGCCCTGTGCCTTCTGCCTCCTGCCTCGCAGGTCTGCGGAAACCGAATGCCCCTAAGCGTTGCGTGCAAACACCGCAAGCTCTGAAGGGCACTGGATGACAGTGCCGGGCTCTGTCCCGGGTTCGCTTGTGTGTGCTCCTGTCACATACCTCCATCTACCCCTTTGCACAAAACGGGTAAAAGGATAACTGCCTTCGAAGGTCGCTGCAGCTAGCTAGCTCGTGTCCAGTCTGCGGCGCGCAGGGGTGCCCCAGGCCGCCCCCCAACCTTCAGCACACGGGCTCCTCTGCGCGAGCTTCACCAGGGATGCTCCGGCCCTAGGGCGTTCCCATGGCCAGCGCCGGCCTGGCCAGGCGATCGCGACCC